AAATAATAAAAAAATAAAATAGAATAAAATAAAATAAACAAAAAATAAAATAAAATAAAATAAAATAAAATAGTAAGTGCATAGGATGTGAAAATAGCAAAATGTAGAGCATGATTTGTGAATTCAAGGTCTATCAATCATACCTTTATATACAATTATCCAGTTTATGTGAAAATTTGGTTTTAAATTTTGCCAATCACAAATAATCAGTCAGTACCTTTTATGTCCTCGACTGGCGGCAGTCAAAAACCAATTTCACAATAAGTCGTTGAAATGGCCGAGGTTGCAGAATATGGAAAAGCCCAGCAAGCCAACTCTGTAGCATTTTTAATAGAGCCAGGTTGTAAAGCACTATGATTTGACAACAAAGATATGGGTTCAGCAATCTACCTTTATTATTTCTTCATAATACTTGACTCTGTGGGCCAACAGCTCCCAGGGAGCCTTCATGTTGTCCAGGTAAGCATGGAGGTCAGCTAGCAGGATTGTAACCTTTGATGGGAGATTATATATCACTTTACTATTATATATAGAATTTAAACTTCTCAGACCCTCCCCACTCCTGGAATTGGGAATTCCAATCCCCCTCTGTGGGGGGATGTATGGATATTTTATGGAACTTCACAAGATGCCCTCCTCAGACCCTCTCCACCCCTTGGAAATTCAAATCCCTTTCTGTGGGGGAGGTATGGAAATTTTATGGAACTACACAATATACCCTCCTCAGTTATCGTAGATTGATAAGTTATACACCGTGGTGAAAATAGGAACTGACGTTTCGGACGTCAAGGGTTGACTCCGACGAAGGACTAACGTCCGAAACGTCAGTTCCTATTTTCACTACGGTGTATAACTTATCAATCTACGATAACTGTTTCATTAGAAACACCGACGCAGTCCATGCTAGTGTTTACTAGCCATCATCTACATACCCTCCTCAGACTCTCCCCACCCCTTGGAAATTCTAATCCCCTTCTGTGGGGGAGGTATGGTTAATTTCTGGAATTATACACAATATACTATACCCTCCTCAGACACTCACCTCACATCCAGCATGCAAGAAATCAGCTATCTTTGTCATCGGCACAAAGTATGCCACATGTGGTTTACCAGTGGTTGCTGTTCCCCAGTACAGCTTGAGGTGTCTATCCTCCTCATCCAGGATGGCCTTCAGCCGATCTTCACCAATGATTTCCTGTTTTAAAAAATAATGATGATGATGATAATAATAATAATCTTTATTTGAGTCTCAAGACTAGGCCAAGCAAGGTCATTGAGTTAAGACATAAGTACTGTATCACACAGCTATTGTAATGCCAATCAGGGCATGTTTTGATAATCATAAAGATTATTAAAACTATCATCATCATATGCCATTCATCATCATCAACAGTAGCAATATCATTATCATTATCACCACCATCACCAGTTTTATCATCATCACTACCATCATCATCACCAACATTATCACCACCATCATCAGTTTTATCAACATCACTACCATCATCATCACCAAAATCATCACCACCATCATCAGTTTTATCATCATCACTACCATCATCATCACCAACATTATCACCACCATCATCAGTTTTATCATCATCACTACCATCATCATCACCAACATTTATTACCACCATCATCAGTTTTATCATCATCACTACCATCATCATCACCAACATTATCACCATCATCATGATCATCACGATCCTAATAATCAGCAGCATTCGCATCACCATCATCAGTTTTATCATCATCACTACCATCATCATTACCAACATTATCATTATCACCAACATTATCACCATCATCACCATCATCACAATCCTAATAATCAGCAACATTCTTATCACCATCATCAGTTTTATCATCATCACTACCATCATCATCACCAACATTATCACCATCATCACGATCCTAATAATCAGCAGCATTCTTATCACCATCATCAGTTTTATCATCATCACTACCATCATCATTACCAACAATATCATCATCATCAGAAAAATGACCCTATTCAACTAGCTACAAAGTTCCTTTTATCTAAAATGGGCTCCCTGTGGTTTCAACAGGAATCCCAGCGATTGCATCATCCAAATAATACATATAAAATAAAAGCATTAAAGTAAAAAAAAGAAAGAAAAATCCATACTTTTTACTGTCAGCTCATTTAACTAGAACATTTTAATCTTTAAGAAATCTTACGAACCAAAAAATATGGTTCCTAAAGAAAATCTGAATTTTCTTGATTCATGGAATAGGTATATTATTCCCATGTGGAAATCATGTTACCTAGAAATTTATCTAGTCAAAAATAAGCTTAGACTTTCAAATTTACCTGTAAATTCCTCGAAATAAGCTGGTATTTCTTTTCTGGAGTCATCGAAGAAGCAGCAGAAGCCATTTTAGTCGTAAAACAACGTGACAAAGTCGAACAAGGAAAAGTATTTTTCAACCTTGAACAAGCTCCTTGAAAAACTCTGGGTGATTTTGAAGCTCGTCTCGTAGCAGAATAAGAATTTCTTAGGACAGATCTCAAGGCCCCGGTCCTTTTTAACATACAAGGAGCAATGTTAAAGGATTTATCTGATGAATAATGCTGTTTTTAAGACGAAATTAGAGGAAAATCGTAGACTCATCAACTTTATAAAATGACCGGGTAAATTTAGTAGCCTGGCCACAGGAACCCCGCGTAGAGTTGAAGAGCAGATTTCAAAAAAACACCTCTAAGAGACTAAAAGATTACCGGGAGATTTGCAAACGTACAAACAACGACTCAAAGAAATTTTACTTTAATTTGTTCGTATTAACGTTCTATTTTAAATGTCATACATTGACTGAGACAGACAGACAGACAGAGAGACTGACAGACAGACAGACAGAGACTGACAGACAGACAGACAGACTGACAGATTTTTATTTATTTTTCAACCTTCTCGTGATTTACGACAAAATTATTAAATGAAATAATACCACTCTATTTTGTATCCTTGAGGTTTAATTATACTATAATTTCATAGTTTCATTCTTTCATTACTGTAATTTTATCTGTTATCAGTTAAAAATAACACCCCCCTTCCTCCCCTGGTGGTGAAAGAGGAGGAGGGGGGAGGGGGGGTACTCCCATTGTCCAAGCAAGCCTCTGTTGGATCGATTGGAACTGCGCTCTCGAATGGAGACAGCAACAATCGAGGATTCCTTGGGAACTAAACAGCAACTACACAAGAAAGTCCTGATTCTTGGTGCTGGTCTCTCTGGGATAGTTGCTGGAAAAACATTGATGGACAATGGTGTCGATGACTTTCTGATCCTCGAAGGACAGGACTACATTGGAGGCAGGATTAAACAGGTACAATTTATAAATTCTGTCGCTCATTTCATTCAGGTCCATTACCAAGAACATAGCCCAATCCAAGATAGAATAAACCAATAAACGACAGTTGTAGCCTGTAGAGAGTTTATGACTTCTATAAACAGTTTATCGACTATTGGAGTTTTCGATTCGATAGACCTAATCGGCTAACGTGTTGCTATGAACGTTTCCACCCAATTAACTACATGGGGCTAATTTTCAACGCCGGAACATATAGCAACACGTTAGCCTATTAGGTCTATTCAGATTTATTTGATTTCTGTCATAAAGGAAAAGTAATACTGAAAACATACCTACGAAAAAAACGTACTATACAAAACAAAGAAAGTTCGTGACACACATTCATCAAGAGTCTTCAAGACTCATTGAGCGTAAAGAGGCATGAAAAGACATCAAACATCGATGCCGGAAAATTTCAAATCTTCAAATCTAAATTCCAAAGTTAAAACGAAATGATTGCTATAAACGTTTCCACYCAATTCAAACCGAGTTGTTCGGTTGAGCGAGCCAAGTTCGAGCTAGTCTCCCCCACAGCCGCTTTCAGTGTCGTCACGCAACGCTTTCTCCCCTGAGTAGGGGAGAGTGGGGGAGACTAAGTTCGAGCCCGAGTCAAGTACGAGTCACCACAAAATTTATTAATTCTTTTCAAAACAAAAATTGAATTTAAGAAATTTTCATATGCTTTTTTTTAATACACTGTAAGCCACTTCAGTTGACCATAACAAGATAGTTTTCCCCAAGTTAGTATTTATACTGCATAGTAGCTAAAGTCCTAAATTTATGTTTCAGTACATTTATTGAATCCGGATGGGACTGGATACTAATAACTGGTGTCTGTAGGGGGAGGGAACGGTTTGATTTGGATAGTGTTTGGGTTTCCTGTGTTGATATTAAAAATGGCGATGTGATTTTCGATCGACTTTCTTTTCATAAAGACAAAATTTAATATCTCTAAGCGGCGAAATGTTCCTGAAAAATTCTTTAAACCTTCATCAAACCAGTAAGAATGCGGAATTTTCGTAAAAACTTGGCTATTATTCATATTTAATACTGCCTTCCTAATAAAGTAAGTGCCAATTGATGATGATAAAAAAAATCATGAAAATTTCTCAAATTCAATTTTTGTTTTGAAAATAGTTAATAAATTTAGGTAAAATTGTATCTGACTCGTGGTTGACTCGTGACTCGTACTTGACTCGGGCTCGAACTTGGCTCGCTCAACCGAACAACTCTTTCAAACCACATGGGACTAAGCTTCATTGTTCGTTATAAATGTGTATTTTGGTTTTTTAATTGGGTGGTAACGCCGGTACATATAGCAACAGATTTTTTGATTTCTGTCATAAAGAATAAGTAATACTGAAAAAATACATACGAAAAAAATTATACAAAAAAAAGAAAGTTCGTGACACACATTCATCAAGACTCTTCAAGACTCATTGAGCGCAAAGAACATAGTTAATAGATTTACTATGCAAAGAGGCATGAAAAGACATCAAAGGCATCGATGCCGGAAAATTTCAAATCTTCAAATCTAAATTCCAAAGTTAAAACGAAATGATTGTGATTTGTACGAAAGCCGAGAAGGGACTTCAGACTTCAGAGATAAYAATTTYAGAGATAATAATTTCAGAGATAATAATTTCAGAGATAATAATTTCAGAGATAAYRATTTCAGAGATAATAATTTCAGAGATGATAATTTCAGAGATAACGATTTCAGAGATAATAATTTCAGAGATAACGATTTCAGAGATAATAATTTCAGAGATAATAATTTAAGAGATAATAATTTCAGAGATAAAACTTATTATTATATAATTACCAATGAAATATCTATTTTTCTCTATTTCTACGCTTACTCGTGAGAGATCTTTTCAACACTCGAAGATAAAATTCGTATATCCGCGCGCCCATGCAATATCGCTCTATTTATGCAATTACACTGATCAAGTCTTTGCTTCGTCTCCTTTAGATCGATTCGTATGCATTACGAACTCCGTAATAGCATAAAGTCATAACTTGAAACCTTTTTCTTCGAGTCAGTTAAAAATTATTATTTTTTAACTTGTTCGCTTTCACGCTTCTTGGTAACTAACTAACTTGTATAAAGGGAATAAATTATTTGAATCTCTCGGGACTTTTATGAACAACTCGTCCTCGCTTTGTTCTCGATATTTCACTTAGAGCTTTTTTAATCCCTTGTTCACGAGCAGTGTTCAGCCCCTATGTTTTGGTATTAAGTAAAAGTCATTCAATGAATTTTAATTATATCATATGAGCTATATTATCGAGCATCCAATGGCATCAACTCTAAACGAGTATAGTATAGTATGATCTAAATGCAGAACACCCGTTAATATATCTCTGATATGAATGACTTTTACTTACCAAAACATAGGGGCTATAACGGAGTTCGTAATGCATACATCGATCTAATGGAGACGAAGCAAAGATTTGATGTCATTGYATAACATAATTTACATTAGCTTATTATCTCTGAAATTATCATCTCTGAACTTATCATCTCTGAAATCATTATCTCTGAAATTATTATGCGGGTGTCCAATATTACTCCACTATTATAATGCACTAGTCAATTGAAACCCCCGCCCCCCCGAACTCCGCGGCTAGCGGGGCACTGAACGGGGACGTGACCGCGTTTTTAATGTGCTTTTAAGAGCATGATTGCACCGGGGGTTAGGGGATTCAACGAATGGTTTTCTCAGCGGGGAATCGAGCGAGGATTTTAACGCTCGTTTTAATGTGTAAGGGCCTGGAAACAAGAGGTCGGCCATCTCGAAAAATACCAAGGAGGCGTTGTGATTCCAAGCACAGGCAGCCCGTAGCCTAGTACAAAGCAGTATGTTCTACACAAAACACATGCCCAAACAAACTTATAGCAGTTTCTACCTATACACTTTTAAACTGAACTCCACTGATAAGAACCTTTCTTAAAATTGTAGCCTTAATAAGTTCTTATGTGGAGGGGTATTAAAGTGAGAATTTTAGCCTAACAGGTTCTTAAAAAACCCAGGTTCTTATACGCGGGTTTTGTTCAGTCGTTTCGGTCAGTTCGAATGTAGAATCAGATCATAATTAATCTATTAAAACTACTGCTTCGCAATATTTACAAGCATTGTTCATTTGAGGTTCAGAGCCCATGAAAATACGTGTTGAGCATTGAATATTTAGTGCATGGAACACACAACAATTGGCTCTGTGTAGCACAAGAATTATTTGGAGTTGGCGTGAAATGTGTTTCTTGTTGACTATTAAACCAAAATAACGGGGCCACAATAGCGGGGGTTTTAACAGTGAATGTGCCCCCGACTACCGGGGAAAATGTCTGATTTTGACACCACTCAAATGTTAAATTCCCCGGTATTTCGCGGAGGTCGGGGGGTGGGGGTTTCAATTGACTAGTGCATAAAACGAACTGTGTATGACTAAGTTGTTTGGACGGTTGCAGCCTTCTCGGCGCACGGGATCCCTGTATGATAGAGGTGGGAGGAGGGATTGGGGAGAGACAATACGCCACGGGTAGCCCGCCAAAGAAACAAACAAGAAATAGACCGTTACAGAGAAGGCTAAATTGGGAAAAAGGAGAGGATGAAAAGTAAAAACCGGGACAACGCGAGCTTCAAGTTGATCTACAGTACATCTTGTTCTTTGCAGAATTCATTTGCTGGGTTCAAGATAGAAGAAGGAGCCAATTGGATTCAGTTCGCTGACGACCAAGAATCGCAACCTATATGGGAACTAAAGGAAAAGACAGATCTGAAAGGAGTATGGACGAAATATACGAACTCGGACTTGGTTATAAGGTAGAGTTAGCTTACCGGAGATTTTTTACCCTGTGGTCCCAATTTTAGGGTCCATTGCATTGGTCACCCTGTGGTTTTTATCTATTATATATAGATGTTGGACTGCAGCGGCCATTGCTTCTCTTTTCAGATCCTGCATTCTTCTCTTTTTCCTACTCAAAAATTAAATAATTTTCTTAGTGATTCTCATTCTCGTACTTAGACCCTTCTCAGCCGTTATTAAAACTGTCTTCTGATTGGCTACAGTACCAAACGCTGCACCTGTAGCATTAAACGGCTTTTGGCGCAGGTCAAAAGACACGCGGGATCGACATTGTTTTGAACATGATAGTTGATAGCAGGTTTTAAAAAATGCAGCTCCAAAGTTTTGAGAACACGATTAATGACGCAGGTCTCAGGGAAACACAGGCTCGACTTTAGCGACTATATTGATAATCCAGGTCAAAGAAACACAGGCTCAATTTTGAACACGACTGCTGTTGACGCAGGTCAAGAGGAATGCAGGCTCAATTTGTAAACATTTGTTTCCACAGAAACGAAACAGGGTCAGACATTACAGAAACAGCAGACTTCAACAGCTGGGACAACGTAAAAAGCAAATTCAAGTTTTTGCAAGAAGGAAGTAGAGAAAATGTAAGAGCCGACATTTCCGTGCGCAAAGGACTGTCTATGCTTGGCTGGGAGCCCACAAACACCGCACAAGAAGCTCTAGAATTTTTATTCACGAATTATGACTTCGGAGTCGCACCAGAGGAAATCTCGTTCAGCCAGTTTTTTGTCCCGGAAAAGGAGTATTTCGTTACAGACCCTAGAGGAATGATGACTCTTTTTGAAAAATTCTACAAGAAGTTTGAAGAAAAATTAATGTTGAATAAGAAAATAACACATATCAAGTATAACTCCAAGTGCGTTGAGGTGAGTATAGCCAAGACCGCTTTTCAACTTTCTGTAAAGCTATTATCCCAAAAATTAGTCCCCCTAAACAATGAACTCTGAACTGGATAATTTGAAAAGAGCCATTAAGAGAAATGCAACGCGTCCGCCATACTATCCAACATGGCTACCATGTCTTTCGTCATTATATTTGTATATAATGCTTTCCAATAAAAAAATTCTTACCAGGTAATCACCTCAGACGGAGAGGTCTTCACAGCAGACTACGCTATTTGTACATTCAGTACAGGAGTTCTCGCCAGTGACATGGTCATGTTCAATCCTCCATTACCAGAATGGAAACGAGAAGCCATCTTGAAAATGCCCATGTCTGTCTACACCAAGATTTTCCTCAAGTTCCCTTATAAATTTTGGGACGATAAAGAGTATATCTTGTTGGCCAGCAACAAGAAAGGATTTTTTCCTGTGTTCCAGGTAGGTTTATGATACACTTTACCTATCTGAAAACTCTGTTGTATATATCCTGCTAACAAAACTATTTTCAGGATCTTGAAAAACCAGGGAAGTTCCCAGAAGGCAGTGGAATGCTGTTGATTACAGTTGCAGAAGACGAAGGACGAAGAATCGAGAAACAATCTTTCGAGAAAACCAAAGCAGAGATTGTCGAGATGTTGAGGGGAGTTTATGGACMGGACGTACCAGAACCGACAGGTCAGGATTATGGGAAGGATTTTAAAAGTGCGCTTTGCTTCATGGGGAGGATTTTCCAAGCGCTATTTGCTTTATGAGTAGTATTTCACATGCGCGATTTTCTTCATGGGAAGGATTTAACAAGCGCGATTTGTGTCATAGGACGAATTTGGTAAGCGCGCTTTGCTTCACGGGGAGGTTTTATTAAGGTGACTGCCTACTTTTGGAAATTGATTTAAGCTTTTTTTAAAACTTCGATTTTCCGAATTGAAATTTAAT